TTTTTTTTTAATGAGGTGCGAACATTTCAGGTATGCTGGCAGTAACGATGCCCTGGGCCCGGCTCAGCTCTGAGCTTTTGGGTTTCAAGTTGCCAGCTGTTAGCCTGAAAAAGCCCCAGGTGAAGATGAAGAAAGTCTTCAGGCTTCGGAGTTGGGGGTGAAACCTAGAGAGGCTGCTACACCTTGGAGAAAATCCAACCCCCTGATTTGTTGTGTGCTTCCTCGCCCACCTAGGTCACCAGCCATGTGTGCGTACATGGGTTCATGAAAGAGAACGTGTGCAAACTGTGTGTGTGTGTGTGTGTGTGTGTGTGAGAGAGAGAGAGAGAGAGAGAGAGAGAGAGAGACTCTGGGAGTGGGTCGGGTGGAGAACTGCATTCGAATTATTTGAAGATGACAACATTTAGTTCTGACCTCCAAAGGACAGAGGAAAAACACAGCTGGTCCCAGTTGGTGCTAACTCCCACTAGGTTCCCTTGGCTCCGCAGATTCCCAGGTCTGGAGGTTGCTCCCACCCTCCCCCACCCTTGCTCTGTACCCAGCAGGGGCAGGTGCCTTCACAGTGGTTTACTGAAATTTTTCCTCTTTCTTTGTTAATGAGAACTGACTTGGCATTTAATAAAACCTTATTTATATAAGGGCTACGTGTGCACAAGAAACAGGCCAGCAAAGGGGCCGGCCCAGCACTCCCACGCCAGAACGACAGTGGCCGGGCGCCAACCAGCTGCAATAACAGCCAGGCCACAGAGGCTAGCCATGCTCCTCCAGGGGGCCGCTGGGGGCTGCCCAGGCCACCCTGTGCCTGCCTGGGGATCATTTTCCTAAAACCACTCCCAGGATGGGTACAGGAAGCAATGAAAGCCAAATCTCATTTAATGCTTGCTATTTCTTTTAAGTTTTTTATTAGTAATTTATTTGCTTTTAATGTTTAGCTGCCCTGGTCATTTGTCCCGGGAAAGGCACACTTCAAGGGCACCAGATGACTACCGAGGTGTTTGCTCTCTGCTAGGAGGTCACGTGCTCTGTTTCAGTCAGTTCATTCCTCACTAGGGCCAGAGCAGGGATGAGGAGAACGGCGGCCAGTGAGCAAGGAGGTCTTTGAGGCGGCCTGATGCTGCCCACTTGGGTGTGCTCCTTTGGCCTCTGCAGCTCTCTTTAAGAGAAAGAGCAGACGGAACATCTCTACAGCGCTCTGTTCCTGAAACCCAGAGGTGTTTGGGGTACGAGGATTACTGTTTGGTCTACAGAAACCGAGATTGTAAAGTCAAACTCTTTTGTTCAAGGTTAATAATTTTTGACCCTGGCCAGACTTTGGAATTATCTGGGAAGCTCTGGAAAATACTGAAGCATGCAGGTTGTACCCTGTGCTAACTGACTCAGGATCTCTGGGCTCGGAGTCGGGGGCTAGTTTGAGATGGTTGCCTTTAGTCTAGGCAGGCCTTAAACACCTCACGTAGCCAAGGGTGACCTTAGACCTCTAACCCTCTTACCTTCACCTCCCCGAACACTGGGATTATTGGTGTACCCTACCATGGCCAGTTTTATGCCATGCTGGGAATCAAACCAGGGGCCTAATTAGGCATGTCAGCTGAGAACTCTACAACTGAACCACATGTGTAGCTGTTGAAGCCTTCCCAGTGGTTCAACGTACAGCTAGGCCAAGGACTGCTGTTCTCAGGGGCAAATACTTCATAGCTGGGCTTTCTAAGATGAGCGGCCATGAATAGGTTTGTTGGGTTGTTTGTGGGTCAAGAATAGGAGGCTCAATGTTGGCACCGTAGCCTCAGCCCAGCGCCTGTCCCCTGTAGGTACCTGTTGCAGCCATGGGCAGAGGGTAAACGGGTCCCTTGGGTCCATCTGAGTCAGTGAGGGAAACTGGTGAAACTTCTCATTTCCAAACTTAATATAGGGCAGAATGAAGACTTCCTGGTCTTTCTCGTTTGATAAGTAAACACTCAGGTCAGTGGCCCCAGCTTGGGGTCAATTACAGCTTGCATCTTGAGTGTCACACAAAGGCCCGTCTGTTAAAGGCATGGTCTCCATCTTGACACTAGTGGGAGGGACAGGGCCTAGCGGGAGGTCTTTAGGCTACTGGGAGGTCTGGCATGGAAGGGGAGAGTGGGAACCCCAAGCCCTTCCCCGTGTTCTCCTGTGCTTCCTGGCCAAGAAATGAGTGGGTTGTTACAACGTGTGTTCTGCTGCAATAAACGGCCTCAATACAGGACCAAAGTGATGAGGTCCATTAGCAACAGACTGGAGTCTCTGAAACTGTGAGCCAAGGGGGAACCCTTTCTCTGTGTGATTGAGGTACGTGTTACGGTAATGCAGAACTAACAGAAGGTCTAGTCACTAAAGGATAATTTTAACCAGATGCAAAATCTTATCTGGCTGTACCCAGGACGAGCTGAATTGAAGACCACACCCCAGCGTAGAACAAGTGTTGCCTTGTAGTCTGCTGTAGGACAGAGATGTTCAGGCCACAGGCTCTTAATTCTCCCCACAGTGTGGGATCCTAGACATTTTGTGATAACTCTTTGGGTCCTGACACCTTTTATGTACTTTGGAGACCCACCCTCAATGAGCTGGGAAAATTACAGAATAACATCCAAGGGAAACTCAAAATAAACTCTGCCAGAAACAATAAGGCCTATTTTATTTTAACTCTGTTACAGGAAGGGCCCGCTTGTTCATCCCAGACATCTGGCTAGCTTAGCCCCAAAATAACCACACAGAAATTGTATTAATTAAAACACTGCTTGGCCCATTTGCTCTAGCCTCTTGTTGGCTAACTCACACATCTTGATCTAACCCAGTTCTATTAATCTGTATGTTGCCACAGGGCAGTGGCTTACCAGGAAAGATTCAGAATGTCTGACTCTGGTGGCTCCATGGTGGCTCTCTCTGTCTCTGCTTTCTTCCTCCCAGCATTCAGTTATCTCCCCCCCCCCACCTACCTAAGTTCTGCCCTATCAAAAGGCCAAGGCAGTTTCTTTATTCATTAACCAATGAAAGCAACACATAAACAGAAGAACTTCCTATATCATGACTCATTGTAGATAATTCATCTGGCTTTTTTTCTTCTCCTTTCTTTCTTCCCTTTTCTGTGTATCCCGCCCCCCGACCCCAAGACAAGGTCTCTTGCATCCTAGGCTAGCTGAAGATGACTATGGACATTTGGAATTCCTGCTCCCACCTCCAGAGTGCTGGGATTACAGATGTTTACATGTGCTAAGGATCCAGTCCTGGCTTTGTGCATGGAAGGCAAGTACTCTTATCAACTTGGCAACAACCCTGTCTCAATCTAAAAGACAAGCTGAGAACAAGAGAGACCAAGAACAAGAGAGACAGAGAGAGAGAGAGTGAGGAGTGAGAAAGAGAGAGAGAGAGAGAGAGAGAGAGAGAGAGAGAGAGAGAGACTTTAATGGGATTTGAGAAAGCCACCATAAAGACAGACAAAATGTGAACTCTGAAATCAATAACTAATTCCAGAATATCTCAAAAATAAACTTAGTGATTCACATTCCTCATGGCACAGTTCCAGAAATTAAAATATAGGCCAAAAGAAATACATAATTAGGCGCTAAAAGCAGTCCATCTTTTCCAAAGGACTCTAATGAATATTCCTAAAAGTGTGGCCTCTGGGGACCCCCATCAAAATCTCCTGAGCAATGATGCAGCTCCCTACCAGCAAGACTGGAGGCTTGGACTTGCATGTTTCAGCAACCTTTGATGACATCATGCATCCTAAAGTTTGACCCCTCTGTGCCCCACCACATCCTTCCAGCAAGGGAGGAGGAGACCCTCATGGGCTCTGGGAGTCTGGACTACAGTTCTAGAGCAGAAATCTGGGTTTAGTGATCCAGTCTTTCCAAAATGTCAAGATTACAAATTTCCTATTTTTTTTTTTCTATCTACAAAGAGCATCTGTGGGGGCAAGTACAGGTCCATAGGAAGGAAGTCGACCCACCCATTCGCTGACATTTATGAATGCTTTGCACAGTTTTTTTTCTCTATCTTTTCCTATTATTTTAGACATAAGATGTGTCCAACCTGTGGCTCACGGGGGGCAGGTTCTCCAAGACAGCTATGAAGGACCTCCAATACACCTGCAGATGACAATGCCATGTCACTGTGTCTAGAAACCCTTGGAAGCAACATCCTTGTTGTACACATGAACATGAGGACCAGGGTGAAGTCAGTGTCTTGTCTGTAACCATGGGCAAGGAATTCCCTGGTCTACAGGAGATGGAGAACATGCTTCACAGCTGGACAGACACCTCCCACATCGCATGCTGAGGGGTGAACCAATGTGGGATATATATCTGTATACTGTAAATATGCTTTACTGCCACTGGATAATAAAGAAGCTGCTTTCAGCCAATGGCTTAACAGAATATAGCAAGGCTGGAAAAGATATATATAGAGAGTAGGTGGAGTCAGAGAGAAACCAGGTAGCTGCCAGACGAGAAAGATGCGAGCTGTTAGCTGGAATCTTGCTGGTAGGCCATGAGCCTCATGGTAAAATATAAAATAATAGGAATGGGTTAATTTAAGATGTAGGAGCTTGCTAGGAATACACTAGAGTCATTGGCCAAGCCGTGTTGCAATTCATACAGTTTCTATGTGAATATTATTAATTCTGGCCAGGGTGGCCAGGAACGAATGAACAGCCTCCGTCTACAAATGGGCACCACAAGAGCTAGCTAGTAATATGCTTACACCATTGGCCAAACAGTATTGCAACAACATAGTTTCTGAGTGGTTATTTGGGTCTGAATGACTGGGAGATGAACCAACACCCTCCAACAAAAGTGAACTTATCTCCTTCCCCTTGCTACTGTTCTAGAAGGACGGTTGTTTTCTCTTGGGTGCTAGGATTTTGGAGCATCCCCAAGGTTTGTCATAGCGTCAAGCTCACACCTTCTCCAGTGCCAGTTCCCCGGTGGCCTGCTTGCTCCCAGAATCCTCTACAAGTTGGGAGCACGTAACCCTTTTCTTACCACACGGAAGAGTTTGAAGAAGTCCACGTTGGCATACAGAGTGTCTTCCATCCACTGCAGAGTCATCTGGGAGAGGGGGCACAGGGCATCCCGCACGGTCTGTGCCCCCCAACGCTGGCTGAAGATGATGAAACGCTGCAAGAGGGCCTCACTGCAGGCAATGTTCTTCAGTTCCAAGTCTGGGACTCCATAGGCAAACTGTAGGGAGGAGAAAAGATGCTGGGAAACTCCTTGTAGGGAAATATTACCACCCTCCTGAGCAAAGATGCCGCATCCCGACCCACAGGCCAATCACATTTCACGACAAATAGGAAGGGCAGATATGTCTGCTGGCTAGTTGGTTTAAAACACACAGACTAGCCAGGCCATGGTGGCACGCGCCTTTAATCTCAGCACTTGGAAGGCAAAGGCAGCCTAATCCTTGAATTCGAGGCCAACCTGGTCTACAGAGTTCCAGGACAACCAGGGCTACACAGAGAAACCCTGTCTTGAAAAAATCAAAAACAAAACAAAAAGACACAGAGATTATTTGAATCCTCCGGGTGGGTTTAACGTCACACAGGGACTTGGAAGTGTGAGAAGGCAGAAGAAACAGGACCAGAGTGCTATGGCGGGCGGGAGAAAGCCTTGACAGGCCACTTCTCGTCTTGCAAGTGGAGGGGACCTCATCTAAGGAATGTGCGCTATCTGTAGAAGATGGGCAGGGTGAGAAAACAGGCTTTCCTTCAGACAGCCCGGTAGAAAATGTGACTTAATGGCCCCTTGACATTCAGACTTCTGACCTCGAGAATCATAAGATAATAAAACTGTGCTGTCCTAAGCCTTTAAGTCTGTGATCATTTGTAACAGCGGTAATAAAAATCCAAACCCTCCCTCAAACCTCGCTTTATGAGAAAACTTTTCCAAATCGAGAGATCACTTTGAAAGGGATGCTAAAGTGCCATCGAGACCGTCTCCCAGTGGCGGAAGTGGAGGAGCGGTGAAAACACATTTATAACGACCTTGGCCAGCTTCCTCTCCTCACTAGATTTACCGCGTAAGAATATCAGATGCCCAGCTCAGTTTGGTTTTGTTATTGCTTTTTATTTGCTTGATTATTTGAGGCAGAGTCTCGCTCTAACCCAGGCTGACCTGAACTCACTCTGTAGCCTAGGCAATTTTTCTATTTCAGTATCCTGACATTACAGGAGTAAGCCACCTTACCCGGCACAGATAAAATTAATTTGAATTTCAAATAAAGAACAAATAACTTTTTGTTTGTCTCAAATCATTCCCAAAGGGAGCATAATTATGCTGAAATTTTTCTTTATGTTTATCTGAAATTCAGAATCAAATATATAACCTGCATTTTACCACAGCCCTAGGCCTAGGCAGCCCACATCCCACACCTCCTAGAAGCTCACAGACAATGACTTGGAACATCACAGCTATGGTGGCCTCCATGGCTCAGACAGAAAAGAAGAGGTCCCAACCCTGGCCTGGGCCTCTTGGTTGCCTGGAGTGTTCCCGAGCATCCTAGACTTCCAGGCTCTGTACCATGAATAAATTCATAAGACTGGGCCCTGAAGACACCAGGAGGCTTTCAGTCACACAGATCTCCACACTGGCAGACAGAACAGACATGGGCTCTCTTATTCCCGTGGAAATGTTGAGACCACACTGGTCCCTCCATGAGGTGCAGGCTGATAGTGGATCAGCTGTAGAGTCAGTCTCAGGGTCTGTAGTGGGGGCATCCCCACAGATCATTCTGCCTTTGCCCCACCTCACTTCGGATCCCTGGGTAAAATCCCATCCTCTCTAACCAGAGGCTGAAACCCTTCTCTTATGTTTGTTTGTCTGATCCTCTCACATTCCGAGGAGGGAACTGAAGGAACAGGGACCAGACAACAACAAACAGAAGAATTAGCTCATGTCTTAGTTTGCTTTTAACGGTTGCGATAGGAAACCATGACCAAAAGCATCCTGGGGAGGGAAAGGTTTATTTGATTTTATAGTTTACAGTCCGTCATGAGAGGAAGTCAGGCCAGGAACTCGAGGCAGGAAGTTGGAGAGGGGAAATGAAGCAGAGGCCATGGAGCAGTGCCACTTACTAGCTTGTTCTATAGCTTGTTCAGCTTGCTTTCCTATACACCCCAGGACCACCGGCCCAAGATGACATTGCCCACAGTAGACAGGGCCCTTCCACATCAATCAGCAATGAAGAAAACGCTCCACAGACTTTCTTACACGCCAATATGACAGGGACTGTCTAAGTTAGGGTTACTACTGCTTGATAAAACACCGTGATGAAAGTGACTTGGGGAGGAAAGGGAAGGATTTGTTTGGCTTACACTTCCACATCACAGTCCATTATAGAAGAAGTCAGGACAGGAGTTCAAACAGAGCTGGAACCTGGAGGCAGGAACTGATGCAAGGGCCATGCTGCTTACTGACTTGCTCTTCATGGCTCGCTCAGCCTGCTCTCTTAGAACCCAACACCCACAATAGGCTGGGCCCTCCTCCATTGATAAATAATTTTAAAAAATGCCCTACACAGAACAGCTAACAAATAGGGTTGCCGCAAAGCTCCCCCTCACTCAATTCTCTCAACGTCATTCACTGGACTCCTAGTGTTCAGGGACCAGGATAGTGACCGGAGCTTTAGAGGTGAGTAATACAGGCACTTCCGTCCTCTGAAGAGCTCCCTAACTAGCTGGAAATATGGGCATTTTGATAGCTTAAGTATACGATCAAATAAAGCAAAGCTAGACCACCAAAGGAGAATCAGAAACGTCAGTCAGGGCTGAGATAAAGCACAGTGACAGAATACCCACGAAGTTGTGTGGCACTCTGGGTTCAAACCTAATATAGAAGAAAGACAGAGAGAAACAGAGGGGGAGGGGAGAGAAAGTAGGGAAGAGAGAGCAAGACGATAGCCCATGATAGTTTCTAAAATTTACAGGGCATGGTGTGCATGTCTGGCCTATAATTCCAGCACTCAGGAGGTGGAGGCAGAAAGATCAGACTTTCAAGGTCATCCTCAGCTAACAGAGAACTTGAGGTCAACATAGGTTCTATGGCAGCTTGTCACAAAACAAATGACAAAGTACTGGGTGTTTATTAAGTATTTATTTTGGGTCTGGCAACATTCTAAGTGCTTTACTTTCATTAGCTTTTTTCACTCTCTCTTTATAACCACCGTATGTAGTGGATATTTTTGAGTGAGGAGAGGAGACAGGCTCAGAGTGATTCTGATGCCACAGTGTGTGGCCGAGCCTTGAGGCTCTTAGATACTCACTTACACTTACTAACTCTTTGGTGAGTAAGGAAGAGTGAGGATTGGACAAAAAAAAATGAGTCTTGTGAGCATGTGGATTGAGGAAGCAACATCTGAACTGGGTCCTGAAGTGTGTGTAGGAATTTTTGAGGTTGGGCAGATGGCAGATGGAGACAGAATGATGAAATGACTTCCCCAGATGGGAAGAAATGCTGTGGAACAATCTTTGTATGTTGTAGATATATATTGCTCTCACTGTTAATAAGAAGCTGATTGGCCGATAGCTGGGTAGAAGAGAATGGGTGAGACAGCCTGACACAGAGAGAATGCTGGGAGGAAAAAGGGTGGAGTCTGGAGTTGCCAGCCAGACCCAGAAGGAGCATGAATGTGCCATGCTAATAAAGGTACCACTATGTGACAGAGTGTAAATAAGGAATATGGGTTAACTTAAAATGTAAGAGCTAGTAAGTAATAAGCCTGAGCTATCAGCTGAGCATTTATAATTAATATAAGCCTCGTGTGCTTATCTGAGAGTGACAGCAGGACAGGAAAACTCCACCTATGGAACAAGGTGTTGAGATGCCCTCCAGAGCTGTGCGCATATGCCAAGAAGAAAGAGCCAGAAGGAAAACCCACTGATTGTGAAGAACAAGGTGTCCCCCATTAATAAGGATGACCAATTGTAGCTTCCATGGGGGACACCAAAAAGGCATATTGGCATTGTGGTTGCGAGTACTAATGGCCACGTTGACTAAAGGTAACACACAGAACTAGATGGGGTAAAAGCCATTATGTGTGAAGATAGAAGCAAGGAGGCCTGGGAGCTGGGTGGGGGCCTGACTGGCTTCGTTGTCATGAGAGGTGGGTTGTGGAACTTGCTGATCTGAGAGCATTGGCTACTCCAGTGCAGCATCCCCTAGAGCCTGGTGACCCTGGCCCCTTGTCCATGAAGAGCCTCTGTCCTGGTGCCCAAAGGGCAGCCACTTGAACTCCAAAGGTCATGGCTGTACAAAGTGGGAGGAAATTTCCCCTAAATTCCAACCCTTATCTCTGCCTCCCTTTTATTACCAACTGGAAACGGTCACAGGCATTGCCGGGACTGGAGATTTATGAGCCGAGGAAAAAGCAAACGGGAAAAATGAGCCATCACTGCTGATGACACTTCCCCTGCAGTGAAGACAGAAGCCAGGCAGTGCCAGGCAGCCAGGTCTGCTTCTCTGAGCCTCATCAGGAGCAGACTCTGCTCTGCTCGTCTGTCTCCAGGCATTACTGTAAGGTCTGGACCATTAGAAAGCAGGCAAGCGTGGGCTCCTTCATGTGATGCAGGGAACCAATCTAAAAACCCCTTCAGCAGCTGTCCCCACCAGGTGGGGAGGAGGTCTCCTCTCTCCTCTGGGCTCCGACAGCAGTGCCCTGTGCAGACCTTCATCTCAGGACAGGCTCATGCTCTGAAATTCTCAGCTGAGGTTTTGGTCTCCCCTGGAGTCACGTCCAGCCAAGGACAAGAGTGCACACTCGAGCTGGTCAGTCTCCCAGAAAGCTTCTAACACAGCCAGCTGAGCTCTATACCTAACACTAAGGACTCAGCTGAGCTGACAGGTGCGTTTCTAACAGGTACTCCTGCATCACTGATGCTAATGACCGCGGGACGACAAGAACCTGTCCAGTGGCTCTCAAGACCTGAATTCCACTTAGTTCTTTGCTTGTTTGTTTATTTTATTTTGGTTTGTGTCTTGAGACAGAGTTTCTGTATGTAACAGATCCAGCTGTTCTGGAACTCTTTTGTAGGCTAGACTGGCCTAGAACTCACAGAGATCTGCCTATATCTGCCTCCTGAGTGCTGGGATTAAAGGCATGCACCACCTCTCTTTACCCAGCTCTTCTTTTAAGAGTTATTTTAATTATAGGCGGGTGTGTGCATCTGTCTGTGAATAGATGTGAGTGCATTGGATCCACAGGAGGTTGTGAGCCTCCTGACATGGGTGCTGAGATTCACACTGGGTCCTGTCTTAGACACCGTTCCATTGCTGTGCAGAGACATCATGACCAAGGAAACTTTTATAAAGGAAAACATTTAATTGGGGGGGTTGTTTAAAGTTTCAGAGATTAGTCCGTTATCATCATGGTAGGAACATGGCGGCACACACGGAACTGGAGCAGGAGCTGAGAGCTACATCCTGATCTGTGGGCAGGCAGGCAGAGATTGGGCCTGGCATGAGCTTTTGGAACATAAAATCTCAGCCACTGTGACACATTTCCTTCAACAAGGTCACATGTATTCCAACAAGACCACACCTAGTCCTTCTAATCCTTTCAAACAGTTCCACATTCTGGTGACTAAGCATTCAAACATGTGAGTCTATGTGAAGACTATTCTTATTCAAACCACAACAGGTCCTCTGAAAAGCAGTGTGTATTCTTATTCACTAGGCCATTTCTCTAGACACATGCACACACACACACACACACACACATTTGCACACACTTAGAGTTCTTATCTTAGCTGGAGCCCTTCCCTCAAATGCTTGGAGGTCAGCTTTTTACTGAGTAAAGGGTACTTTTGTCTTCACACAATGACTCCTGACATCCAGGAAACACAACAGACGTTTCTGTTTACATCTACCCTCCTCTGGGATATAAGTCTCCTGAGTAAGGGGCTTTGCCTGTCTGGCCCAGACTGCTGCAGTAGCTACAGCTGTCCCTAAAGATTTGATTATTAAATGGTAAGGTTTCTCCACTCTACAGGGTAGGCTCAGTCTCGTGATTTCTCTGCCTTCCTTCAAGTTCCAAAAACCTGGGGAGTCTGATGGTGCCAGAGGTACCAGAGCTGTTTCAGAGTCCTGGGATCGGACGCTCCTTGACTCAATGACCCCCAGGCTTGTCCACCATATGCAGCATAAGCCATGGAGTCTGAATATGGGAGCCAAAGGGAAAAGAAGTCTTCCTCAGGCTTGGTGCCTCCCCTCCTCTCCAACGGTCCTCACCTACCTGTTCCACACGAACTTGGGAGCTGATCAAAAGATGGGCAACAGAGTCAGACAGGCCAATGTTTCTTGTGAGAAATAGTGTCAGTGTATCCTCATCTTTTAGGATGTCTCGGATTTGTAATCCTCTTCCTGAATACGAATGGAAGAAAGAACAGGGGGTGAGTCAAAATAAGAACAGCATGTAGTATCGGTTTGAAATATTTCTGCTTGACTCTTGGAAGGGGGCTGTGTTCTTGGCTTCCTGGGGAACTCTTGGAGACTGCGGCTGCTAGAGCCTGAGCACAATACAGTGGAAGGTACAGAAGGAGGGAAAGTTAACCCAGGGTGAGCAGGGTGTCAGGCACTTCTTAGAGTTGATCTGAGAGAGTGACTTTCAAGAGAATAAAGGCTGGACGGTGGTGGCACACTCCTTTAATCCCAGCACTTGGGAAGCAAAGGCGGGTGGATTTCTGTGAGTTCGAGACCAGCCTGGGCTACAAGAGCTAGTTCCAGGACAGGCTCCAAAGCTACAGAGAAACCTGTCAAAAAGAGAGAGAGAGAGAGAGAGAGAGAGAGAGAGAGAGAGAGAGAGAGAGAACGAGAACGAAGGGTAAGGAGCTACAGCAGAGGAATTTGGGCTCTTGAGTATTTGCCAATATCTGGAGACATCTTTGGGCAGTATTATTGGGGAGAGGCCAATGATATTGCTAAACATTCACAGTGTACAGAAGAAGGCTTCCTCCCTAAAGAATGTCCTGCCCCTACAAAGGTCAGTGGTATTGCAGAGAGCAGCCTTTAGACACAGCTCTACAGGCTCTCACTGTAGTGGTCCATGGATACACACAAACATGCAAACACAGTTGTCTAAGGGTTGAGGACTATGGTCCTGCTCTTTTTGCATCCTTTGTCCCACCTATCCATGTTGGGTACACAGAGGTAAAACTGAAAGGTCATTCTGTCTGTTCTCTCGTGTTCTCTCTCTCTCTCTCTCTCTCTCTCTCTCTCTCTCTCTCTCTCTCTCTCTCTCTCTCCCAGTATGGAGGCCTGATATAGTATCAAAGCCTCAATAAATGTCTGTTGAATGACTGACCCTAGGTACGCAATAAATACCTGTGCTCCTGTCCTAAGAGTGAAGCCCCATTTGGCTGTTTATTTTTTAGTTACTCTTTAACATCCTCAGCTCATATTGCATACGAATGCCTCGAGAGAAGGGGCAAGACAGAGAGTCATCTGGCCCGGGTATCATACCACTGTGGCCTGGCTGTGGCAGGGGTGGGATGGGGTAGGAGAAGAAGGGCAGGGACATGGTAAAGCACACACCCTAGCTGGGGGCTGAGGGTCACCCTGCCTGCAGAGCATGGGGCCCAGGGTCTGAGCAGCAGGATGATACCAGACAGGCTCTCCATTAGATTCCTGAGCGGGGCCGTGTGAACGGGGTGGGGTGGGGGTGGGGGGTTTCTGGGGAAAGAAAACTACATTTCTTCTAAAATGTGGTTCTACTTGTTCTCTTTGCTGGGAAGACTGGAGGCTAGGAGTGGGGGACAGAGGGTAGCTGCAGGTGAGGCTGTGGGAAGAGGGGTTTAGAGATGATTGAGACCACAGAGCTGACTGGGCACAGTGGGGGTAGTCTGCAACTGGGGTGTCCCCATTAGTCCTCCCCTGGAGAGAATGCAGCCCTACAGGTTTGCTGCAGAGAAGAACGTTGCTGCCTGGGTCAGCATGGGTACACTTTCCCAGGTATCTGGGAACCCCACAGGCAAAAGCCGCAGCAGCTGCAACAGTCCACCCCATTCTGCATGACTGAGTTCCTAATGACCTCAGACTTCACGCCTTGACCAACACCCTGCAACCTCTTCCTGACATCTTGACTAGACTTTAGTGCCTGGCCCAACATTCCACCAGAGACCATGTCATTTACTCCTGCGTGAGCTCTGGGCCCTCTCAGTTTCTGTCCCTAGCTTGTGGGGGGCCTTGGAAGGCTATCCTGACCCCTTGTGCCCTAGTCATGCTCTCCTTTAGGAGATTCCCCCCCCCTCCCCAGATGGAGAACCTGCAGAAAAAACCACCTGCGCCCTCGTTCACCCTCAAGTCCTGTTTTGGGTTTAGAGTCGTGATTTCAGTTCTCCTAGGCACTTGCAACAACCACAGAGACTTCTGCATGGGGTGAATCTCTTCCACTCCCTGCAGCCAGACTTAATTTCATGGTCAGACCCACCAATGCAAAGGCCACTTCATGGCAGACCCTTCGGAACGAAGGGAAGAAGGAAAGTCGTCTTGAGATCAAGACAGTGGCTGTCTAGTGCATCTGCTGGCCGAGCTCCCCTGCATTGGTTTTTTTACTATTTAAAAGGCAAGTAGTGAACCAGTCATAATGGCTCATGTTTATAATCCCAATACTTCGGAGGCTGGGGCAGAAATATTGTTACAATATCCAGACAAGTCTGAGCTACGTGAGTTCTAGGCTGGCTAAGCTAAGTAAGAACCTGTCTCAATAAACAGGCAAATAAACAAAATGCTCGTTGTGTCTCTGCCGTCTATAACCCTTCACATTTGAGCTGACGGTATCAGCACTTCTCCAGCAGAGCAAAGAATGGAGCATTCGCAATCTGGGCTGTGGAAATCATGACCAGCAGTGTGTGCTCCGCAGTTTGGAAGCAGCGCGAAGGTAGCTAAGCAATCCTAACCCAGCGGTCCGGATGTACTTCTGTGCTCTTGCCCCTCCAGGGAGCAAAGGCAGAAAGTGGCTAGATGGGAGGGCGCCAGACTCTGTTTCCAGTCTTTTCCCTTCCTGACTCCCCATGTTCTCAACGCCCTCTGCTTCCCCATACGGTGAGGGACAGCATGGCCTACCCTATTTTTGTTCTCTAGGTGCCCTGCGGGCAGGCACTCAACCCATCCATCTCTCTATTCTTGCCTGCCAATCATGAAGGTGTTTCATCCAAGATTAAACAAGCGGATTGAACTAGACACCCACTGTGTGTATGTCTCACCGCGTGCTGAGCGTAAAGGGGCCGTGTCACATACAGTGAGGAGGACTGGTCACATCATCATCTTAACTTTACTGTTGGTAACTCGAATACAAGCTGCCCTATCCAGCCACTCTGGACCCCTTGGCGTCCCTTGGTAGTCCTTTCCTATGGCTGTCATATGGTGGTCTTTATAGCCACACACCTTTGTCTTAGGAATACGTCTTTCCACAGCAGTAGCCTCTGACCTCCATCCTTGCTGTCTCCTCATTCACCATCTCTCCACATTATATCCTGTTCTCCACGGACCCACCTGCGTCATTCTGGATGCTAAACGTGACTGGAAATGCCCATTAGGAGGAGTCTTTGTCTCTGTATGCAAGTGAGCTTGTGTGTATGTGTGCATGTGTGTATATGTATGCGTCAATGGAGGTACACACAAGCCACAGCATGCATATAGAGGTCAAAGGACAACCTCTTTGCGTTCACTGCTGTGTGAGACAGGCTAGCTGGCCTCCAAACTTCTGGAGAATTCTCCTGCCTCGACCTCCCGCCTCACCCCAGGAGCGCTGGGGTTACCTGCCTCTGGCATCGTTTCATGGAATCACCCGCTCTTTACTAGGTCTTCAGAGTCTGGTGTGTCAGGCTAACTCTAGTGGCAAGTACAGAATGGGGACACGGGCACCCAGGTTACCTGCGAATCTCTCAGGGTGAGTCCGTAGAGTGTCCATGAGCTGGGACAAGGTGCGGAGCTCAGCCCAAACCTGGCCAAGCTGCTGGACCTCTGGTGTGTCCACGAAGAGCTCCTGGAAATCTCGATACACTCTTGCCAAGCTATTGAGAGAATGCCTTATAAATAAATAGCTGTCTTTTTCATAACCATACAGTTAGCAGCTTTGTGCTTCTTTTAAATTGACTTAGCATAGCCTCCATTGGATGGCTAGTTATAATTTTAACCCTGACAAAAATGATGAGTGTTTTGCTCAATATTTGAATTGCAGCAGGGCAAGCTGACCTTACACCCCATTCTCTGAGCCTGTTGTTCTGAGGCTGTTGGAAGATATTACCAGTGAGTCTTCCCGGCCTTCACCCAGTTCTCTGAGTTCTCCTCCACCACCCACTCTTAGGGGTGGGACCTGACGCCACAGTTCATCCACACGGTCCTCCCTGCGCCTACCCATCCAGACTGACTGGACCGGGAGAATGGAGATGGGCAATTGGATGTTCGGTTTTGTGGGTTAAAACCACACTGTGGGAGCCACATCCCAAGATCCTTGTGCTGCAGGTCACTAATGACAGTTTCCGTCATTAAAGGTTTGGAATTCCTTATTTTCCTTTAAGAAGGAAACCTCACGTTGTAAACTTGACTTCGGGTTTCCTTGCACTGCTTGCTCCTTGGCATTTCTCCCAGGCCTTGTCTAAAGAAGCCTATGGAGGAGACAGAGAGGGCTACGGGCAGCCTGTGGCCGAGGTGAAGGAAGTTAGTTAATTGTTCCACCTAAGAAGACGGGTGACCACAAAGTAGTGGGCACATCGTAGCCTGGGCTGCTATTAGATTTTAGGTCCCCTCTTGGACATACAGATGAACAAATCATGTCCATGTGACTGAAGTTTGAAGGCTCCCCCCGCCCCCAGGTGCCTTGCCATTAATAGTGTGGAAGCTGCCCTCCACACTCTTTCAGAGTTCCTCATCAGCCCGTGGGAGCAGCACACACTCCTGCATGGGGGGAGGGATGGGCAGGGGGTGCAAGTTCCTCCCTGTAGGTGGGAAATCTCAGCACTTACATGGAGTTGTCATAGTTTGACACAATTCCAGGAGTTTCTCCCGGGGTGGGGTTCTGAAAACAAGGGTTATTCATGTTGCAGAAAATCCCCTGGAGCCATGGTAACATTCCTGCCGAAGGCATCGCCTTGTTGGGAAAATGGCCTTTAAGACAGAAAAGGAAAGCGAGAAGGAGTGAGTCACAGAAGCCAAGCAGGCCAGGAGCACAGACTCTCTGGGACTCTGCTTCTCCCTCGGTTATGAAGCGGGAACGTCTAATGCAGGTTACTCCCTGTGCTGTGTCCCAGAGTTCATGGCACATAAGGAGACAGATGAAGGTTACAGGGCAGCAGCTCTCAACCTATAGGTTGCGAACCCTTTGATGTCAAACAACCCATTCGCAGGGGTCACCTAAGTTCATAGGAAAACACAGATATTTACATTACGATTCATAACAGTAGCAAAATGACAGTTATGAAGTAGCAACCAAATAACTTTATGGTTGGGGGTCACCACAACCTGAGGAGCTCTGTATTAAAGGGTCACAGCATTAGGAAGGTTGAGAAGCACTGGCCTAGAGACTTACATGGCCATGCGGAGCGGAATTGAGGCTAGAAAAGAAGTTTCTGGAGGAGGGCAAATAGGGAATTGGCTCGGGGAGGCTGGTGATCACAGAGGTTCTTTCCACGACAGGCGCGGAGGCTGTGCACTCCTGGGGGTGACGGAAAGAAGCAAGGGTTTGCTGGACAGGAGGTTGACAGAGCAATGGAAGTTAGAAACTCAAGAGAAGGGAACTTGTCAGCTTTCACAACTCTTGGGGTGTCCGTGTCACCTGCCTAGAAGAAAAGACACCATCCTGGCCAAACCCACAGGGGACCTTCTGAGAAGGCTGCTATACATACAAACAGGCCCACACGAGGGCTGTAGATGCCTTGAAGCTCCAGGGTGTAATATTTATTAAGTGTGATCTGTACTGTCCCTTCTTATTTCTCCCCTGGTACCATGTAAAACAAATTCCCTAAAGCAGTCAAGATAAAAAATAAACTCGGCCGTGGTGGCGCACACCTTTAATCCCAGCAATCAGGAGGCAGAGGCAGACAGATCTCTGTGAGTTTGAGGCCAGCCTAGTCTAAAGAGTGAATTTCAGGACAGCCAGGGATATACAGAGAAACCCTGTCTTGAAAAACCAAGGGAAAAAAAAAGAGCTAAATTTGTAATATAACAGCTAAGTTTAGAAAAACAACAAAATAATAAAAAATTATATGCATAAAAATATACAAATATACACAGGGCTATGTTTGACTCTCAGAAGCACAGAACGAAAGAAATGAACTAGCAAACAGTACATTCTTTCTATACACCATGATAACCAAGACTGCACATGTTTCAAGAAACTAGAATTTGTTCAGCATTGATGAACCTGGTTCACATACCAAAGCCTCTGAAATGCCAACAGATGTGATATCCCCAACACCCAGAAGAGCTTCTTAAAGGGAAGGCCAGCAGGGGCTTCTGGGCTCATACTCACATGGATGGTGGCTGTAGAGGGGGTTGGCATTCCTCAGCCAGATTAACACCAGAAACAAAGACAGAGGCCACACGAGTTCCACCACAAAGCGAATCTGGAAAAAGAGAATCAAAAGAGAAAGATCAAGGGTGCTAAGAGACTTGGGGAGATGATACGCCCAGAGGAGAGAGGCTTTCGTGGTGCACGGACTGGGCTGTGGTACAGCGGTACGCCATGTAACAGTGGATCACATATCCCACAGCAGCCAAAAGCTCCCTGTCACTGTCTTAACATCCTAGTGTCTGTGCTGATGTCACATCGCCTAAAGCCAGAGCACGTATGTACAGCAATGACGCTCAATGATGACCATGTGACCGTTACAGGTTCAAGTCATTCACTGAAAGACAATGTCTATTCATAAAAACCAAACTAACAAAAACCGTAAGCTGGAAGCAAAGCGTGATGCCACGTGGTGTTTATAATGGCGGCACTTTGGAGGCTAAAGCGTGAGTTCAAGGCCAGCCCCGATGATGTAGCAACTTTGAGAATATCCTGTCTCAGAAACGATTCACTGCCAGGAGTTGGCGACTGTAAAACCAGCAGCAGCCCTATGCATACCATGCTTGTCTCCTGGTTGCATCTTTTTTGTCTTGCTCTTGATTTAATCTTGTGTTTATTATGGCTCTAGGAGCAATAGACTACATATGCATAGATAAACATATATACCATAGAGCTACGCTGCCCAGATGAGCAGTGGGCGCTGCTGGGGAGGTCTTTCCAGTCTACTTTCCAGTCTGCAAAGGGTGATGAAATTACCTAACCAGGCGCTGCCCAGAATCAGCCCCATTGGTAAGAGGAACCCGACTAATTACCTGAAGAACTTCCTTCAACCTTACTCCTACACCACCTCTTGCCTGATTCATTGTATCAGTCAGATTCTGAGTCCTTCTGCATTCTCTCTGCATCTAGTCCTAAAATAGCACAGACACAAGACCGAGACGAAGGAGCTCAGGGCTCAGCACATATGACTGTATACGGGGATGCAGATTCCTTTTTTTTTTTTTTTAATTTTTTTTTCTTTGAGACAGAGTTTCTCTGTATAGTTTTGGAGCCTTTGCTGGAACTCACTCTGTAGACCAGGCTGGCCTCAAACTCAGAGATCTGCCTGCCTCTGCCTCCCAAGTGCTGGGATTAAAGGCATGTGCCACTACCACCTGGCTATGTATGAAGATTCTAATAAAGTCCTGTGTAATGCTGGTGCCTCAGACTGGAAAGATCTCATAATCTCTCATTCTGTGGATGAGTGAAGAGACCTACAGAGGCAGGTGATTTGTACAGTATCACAACAGGAAGCAAAATCCAGCCTTCTGCCTCCAGGGCCAATGCTCCTCCTACCCCCTCCCATTGCTTTGCCTTCTGGTGCGTGGTAGACCTCTCCTGAAGGTGGTCATTGAATTAATGAATGAACTAGTGATCAAATGACTCTGTGATACGGTGCCCCAAAGCAAAGTAAACAGAAATCCAGCTAGTCAACATTTTTTTCCTTCAACAAGAACTGTTGTTTAGGGGAAGCAGACAGACTATACCATGGTTTCTTCCCTCTCCCCACAACCAGAAGAGGTGGCTGATCTCAACCTATCACAGAAGATCAAGGGAGCCTTGGTTTGGAGTCAGAATTCTCCTGACTCCAAAAGAAGAGGCACTTGATGGTGGTGCTCACATTCCAGCGCTGGACACAGTGGAAGGAGGAGAGGGAGAGGAGACTGTGAGTTAGGGATTAGACATCCTAGGACAAACCATGTGCTGCTTAAAACAAAACAAAAAACAAACAAACAAAATCAGAAGTTGGCTGGCAGCCAAGTCCTAACATATCTGAAAATTCATTGTAGAAAACAGACCACATATTAAAAGAAAACAAAAATGTTTACAGGTAGATAGTAACTTTCTAGAAAGACTACTCAACGCTTAGAGGAAACAGACATACAAAGGCAGCAAGAAGATAGAACAAACATTACATTTTTCTTAATGTGTCCACTTTCCAGGGCTTTCCTAGATACATACTTTCCTACAACGTGACGAAATACCAATATTGGGTTGGGCAATTCCCACCTGGGGTTTAAGGAAACAGCCCCAGGAATATTTGCTAGCAATTAGAATTGCTGATAATCGTCCACAGGGCTTGCGCATCCAGAGTCCCCCTGGCCTAATACCCCTGCCAGCCCCCAGCACTCTTACAATCTCTCTTGGTCCCTAGAGCAACACTCACAGCTGCACCCGTCCTCCACTGTGAATCCAGCACCCCATACAAGGCAGGGTTCGTGGACGTTCCCATCAAACATGTGTGGACTGAGTAAATCTTAACCAAGGGCCTTGGGGGCCTCTCTGGGGAGCTGGAGTTGACACAGGGGCTCAGGCCATCAACAGTCGGAAGACTTAATACACTGCACCCCGCCAAGGCGTGCACCTCAGCTTCTCTCTCACCTCTATTCTGGACCATCCTGTAAGGGTGGTGGGGGAACAGGTTCAACAAGATAGCCACGTGACAGGTGCAAGTGATGACACGGGAAGTTGCTCTAGGTGTCTTCACCGAGGAAATGAGACAACCAGTACAGAGTCATCGCACTTGACTCCTGAGACAACTGATTGCCATGTTGGCCCTCTACCAAAGAGTGTCAACCTGTGAGTCATGTGGGATGCTAACCGCCACTCAGGGAATGTGAAGATTTGGGTTTCAACCACTCGCAGGCTTGCTTAATTTCCGAGTCTCCGTTTTCTCCCCTACGAAACAGGGATGATTTTTCTGTCCTGTAGTATAATGAGAATTAAGAACAGACTGCTCTGGGACCAAGGACTGGGGTTCATGACACGGGGTAACCTGTGGGTGGTGATTCCTTTGGGGGTCACATATCAGATCTCCTGCACATCAGATATTCACATTATGATTCATAACAGTAGCAACATTACAGTGATGAAGTACCAAAGAAATAATCATATGGTCGGAGGTCACCACAACACGAGGAACTGCTTTAAGAACAGAAGCATTAGGAAGGTTGAGAACAGAAGGTTCAGTTTGGAAGCATGGGGTAGGTCTTCTCCTCCGTACTTAAGAAAGGCGTGGATGTGCAAGGTCCTGGTCATGGGGGGACAGGCCGATCTTGCCTTCCTGTCTCAGAAAAGAAGTTTCTAGACTCACACTAGTACATTTGGTCTGTCTAGGAAATGCTACTTACAAGTTTTGGGTTTTGTTTTGCTTTTATTTTGGAAATGCTTTCTTGTTTGTAACTGCTGTGCCGTGCTATTTTACTTGGGCCTTTTATTCATTTATTTTTACTTTTTGCATATGTGTGAGTGAGTGGTATGTGCATGTGTTTGTATGTTCCTGTGTGTTAGCATATTTCTGTGTATGAGTACATGTGTGCAGGTGCATCATGTTAGCATATTTGTGTATGAGTATGTGTGTGCAGGTGTGTGTTAGCATATTTCTGTGTGTGTGTGTGTGTGTGTGTGTGTGTGTGTGTGTGTGTGTGTTTAAGCCCCAGGCTGACATTGGGTGTCTTCCCATTGTTCTCCATTTTAGTTCCTGAGACCAAGGTTTTCACTTTCTGACTCAGGGTCTCTGGTTTCAGTGAGTCTGACCAGGCCAGCTTGCTCCAAGGATCTCTGTCTCCACCTCCCTCGAGGTGAGATCATGGACAAAAATTACCACTGCACTTGGTTTTCAGTGTGTTCTAGGGCCCTGAACTCTGGTCCCCACACTCGTGTGACAAGTACTTGACCGGTGGAGCCAGCTCCCCAGCTCAGTTTTATTTGTATTAATTTTTTTAAGTTAGCATACAAAATACTGGGCTTTATTATATCATTGACACAGGCCTCATTGTCCTTCCTTCTAATTCGTCCCCATTCCACACTATCCCGCAGGCCTGCCCCTGAGGGTTCCCTTCCTTTCTCCAGACAGCACCCCTTTTTGATTGCTTCTGTCCTCTCCCTTTTCCCTTAGGATCTTTCCCCATTCTGTATTTGGCATGCCTGCTCTGTGAAGGTGCCAGGACTTAAAGTCGTCTATGGGGGAAACGGGACCCTCCTTGTGCCTGCGCTCTTCCTCCCGTCTCTAAATCCAGGGCTGCTGTTTTCTTCAGATACCCCAGGGCCCTCCAACGACCTGTCTCCATCAGCAGTCCTTACATAGCTGTCAAGCTGGACGGACGCACATAGGCATCTCAGGCCATGTCCACAGGGAGGTCAGCATCTCCCAAGGCTGAGAACTCCCGTCCCAGCAGAGGTGGCCATCTTTAAAAAACACTGGGGAAAAGAATGTTTTCCCTCTGTATGGGATCTGGGGCCGCAGCCCCTACGGGCCACTCTCTGTACAAAGACCACCTGTCATTCTTTCTTCACCTGGCAGAGGCAGGTGAGTCCTCCCAGCAGCCTCTTCCCCTCCCCCAGAATCAGTTCAGTTAGCCCAAATGAGCTTTGTGGCCCTTGTAACTCAAGTGTACACAGGCATGCCCTAGGGAGAAATTCCACATTATAATAAAAACACGTCTCCAGGGCCCGCCCCCTGCGCCCCCTCCCACCCGCCTTAAGCATGTCTGTAACTTTAATTAAGCCCAGTCTAAGCTCAGAAGCCACCCCCCTCCATGGAATTTTTTTCTAACTATACTGGTATTTCCTTGTTCCCTCTCCCCTCCCCCTCTTTACCGTTCAGCCTATGTGGGGGAGGAAGGGTTCCTGGTCAGGGCAGAGTCGTGCTTGTTGTTTTAAAACAGCCAGTTAGGTTTTCTCCCTTCCCTCTCTGTTTTCAATTTAAAAGGGAGGTAGTCAGAGCTTGAGAGCAACCGCGCTGATCCTCCTTTCTGGGCTGAGCATCCAGACAGGACTCAAACCTGGCTCATGGTCACCCAGAGTCTGGTGTATTGGAGCTGGTGCCTAGGATCCCCGTCTCATCCCCTAACGCTGCACCCAGCGTTAAGGGTCACAGTCATACCAGAAGCATACCTCTAGAGTTTAGGAAGTGAACTCCTACTTTTATGAGTCCTTAGGCCTTCACCAAACATCCTGCCCTTCCCTGGAAGTGGGGCCCTCGGGGACACCAAAGAGTTCTAGGAGCTGCAGCTG